GGAAAATATCCTGAAGTCAGAATAAATTCTAGCTCCACAAACAGCTATTTGTTCATGGCCAAGTTGCTTCTCTTAGGCTCAATATTTTCTTTTAAAAATAAGGATTTCACTGCCTTATTTAACTAGGTTCTTATAAAAATTTACTGAGACATTTTCAAAGGCTCGGAGAAATAGTGATGCAATGGAAAACTTGTTCCTGAACTTTATTGCTGAAACTATTGTAGAATCCCAAATAAAACCCAATCTGTGTTTTTTCATAGGTTCTAATATTTGAATGTTGCATTTTTCAGAACATATTATTAAGTCCTAATTTCATTATTAGTTGTTCTATTCTTTGTGGCTTGTAATTCAGGCCATCTCAGATATTTCACAATTTTTAACAAAATATATTTGTAAATATGTTATCTCATTACATTAGATTACATTACAGTCCCCCATCACTGAGACAATCAATCATACAAAGGGCGGAACACAAACAGACATCGAGACCTGGCTGGGACTACTACTGTTCCCTCTCTAGCTGCTCAGACTCTCAACCAGCAGATCTCTGTTGGAATGATGCTTAATCTCCATGTCCATCTCCAACTGACATGGAAGATAAAATCCTACTTTTTTTAAGTTCCACAAAGGAAGTTGACATTTTCTCATTTCTGAGATACGTACCAACGACATGTGTGCACACAACATCCCATGTGTTGCGAAGCTCCATTCTCATTTCATAGATTACCTTACACAGATATTTTTGCAAAGAACATCACAGTTTCCACATTGAGTGCTGCCCATTGTGCTTGATTCACATAGTTTTGGGGGAGCTGGGCAGCAAACAGTCAAATGACCTTCCAGGGACTGTGCAAAATGTAGAGCTTTTTAAGAATGTGCACATCATATTTTCACATGAGCCATGCTAATCTGCTCCGTATTGTTTCAATTTTAGGACATGTGCTGCCGGAGAGAGCACAAAGCCCTTCCTTTGTATGTGGGTATCGATGAGTCATGGGTGAGGCTTAGCCCTGTTATATCCAACTAACCCAGTTTACACTCAGAGGTTTCAGTTGAATGGCTTCTTTGTGAAGCAGGATTTGAAAATGTTTTAAAACCTTGAGGTAGAGAAGCAAGCAGCTTGGGAGATTTTCATTATTATGGGGAAGAGATCACCTCAGGGCCAAGGGCAAGTTGGTGCCCACTACTCAGGAAGGATGATATGGGACCATTCACTGCCTCAGAAAAGGTGCTACATGGGACATAAACAGACCTCAGGGTACAGATCCAGTAACAAAGAAGAAGGGAAACTCTGATCTTTTCCTGCAACATTCTTTGAACCTCTCTGACAGTTTAGAACAATCTCAACTAATATTTGCTTGAGAAAAGGGCTTCAAAGGATAACTTACCATGAAGGTTTAGGCTAAGTCTAAGCCAAAATGTGGGTTCTACATAAGGTTTGAAGTGTGGGGGAAGGGTCACATAGCTCACTATGTGTGTGGCTAAAGTTAGGAGGCCCCGCTGCAGACCAGAGTACTGGTGCTTTGGGAACAATGGCTGAGCACACGAGCATACGTACGTGAACTAAAAAAATGTTACTTTGAAGTCTAAGTATGGATGACCATGGAGACTGAGGGATCTGAACCAGCAAGGGCATCCTAGTACCAAAGGTCACTCATTACCGATGGCAGGATCAGTTTCCATAGCAACAATGCAACAACAGAAACAAGGGCAACAACTGAATGATTAGAATGTCCTTTTTTCCCTCCTTCTGACTTGTAAAAGAAGATCATCTTCCTTGCACTTTGGAACCCCTTGAGTTTTTTTAAAATTCAAGGAGGAGGGTCTAGGACTGTGACTCCCAACCCCCAAGGCTGCATGAGGGAAGCCTCATCTGTATTTATGCCACTCCCCATCACTCACATCACCGCCTGAGCTCCGCCTCCTGTCAGATCAGTCACTGTCTCCCATCACCCTCAGATGGGACCACCTAGTTGCAGGAAAACAAGCTCAGGGCTCCCACTGATTCTGCATTATGGTGAGTTGTATAATTCTTTCATTATATATTACAATGTAACAATAATTCTGAAATAAAGTGCACAATAAATGTAACATGCTTGAATAATCCCAAAACCATCCCACTCAATCCATGGAAAAACTGTCTTCCATGAAACTGGTCCCTGGTGCCAAAAGGGTTGGGGAGTGCTGGTCTAGGAGATAGCCCCCAGGGTATGGTACAAGAGTTTCTGCTAAACTGGACATTTCAAGACCCAAATAACTAATTAGAAATATCAAGGATGTGACCTTACTTTTATCCCATGCATAGGGGTTATGCTTGGAATGAAATGGACAATGTCGAGATCCCTAAGGATAAGGGTCTTAAATGTCCTGAGGAAAAGAATCCTGCACCCTTTGCTAC